ATGCCTGTAGTCCCAGGTAATTGGGAGGTTGAGGCAAGAGAATCACCTGAGCCCAGGGGTGTTAGGGCTGCAATGAGCCAGGATCAGGCCACTGCACTCTAACATGGGTGGCAGAATGAGACCCTGTCTCCCCCCACCCCTGCAAAAAAGCTCATCTCTTCCAGAAGCATCTTTACAGACACACCCAGAAAGAACGTTTTACCAGCTATCTGGGCACCCCTTAGTCAAGTTGACACACACAAAAATGAACCATCACAGCTGCTTGTATAAACATGGTCAAGGACTTAGAGGAAAATATATGAGTAATGAATGAACAGATGGAGAATCTCAGCAGAGAAACAGAAATGGTGAAAAGGGGTCCAGTGCACATTCTGAAGCCGAAAAGCCTATCAGAAATGAACAATCCCTGGATCAGCTTGATAAGTTGCAGATGAGAGGGAAGAGTCATTGAACTTGAAGATAGTCCAGTGGACGTTACGCGCTTGAATGACAGCGAGGAAAGAAGACTGGAGAAAAGAAACAGAGGCTGGGACTTACGGGACAGTAGCAAGTGGTCTAACACAGGTGCAGTTGGAATCCCAGAAGAAGAGGGTGAACAAAGAAGCCAGGCACAGAAACACCTGTAACACGGGGTGTCATGGACGTTTTCCAGCAGACAGAAGCAGCCCACGGTGAAGAAGTCCAAAGGCTGGTGACTGGGGAGGGGGAGGGGACCTATCAGCCAGTGGAGGGACTTCTAGGGAAGATGATAGTGTTCAGTACTGGGATGGAGCGTAGGTTACACAGGTGTGTTTATTTGTCAAAATGTCAGAGACTGGGGGAAAAAAAAATCACAAAACACATCTGCCTTGTATCCTGAATATGTAAAGAATGCAAGACAAGAAGGGACAGACAGCCTAATTTTTTTAAATGGGCAAAAGTGGCCGGCCTGAAACATAGCGAGACCTCGTCTCTAACAAAATATTAAAAAATGAGCCAGGTGTAGTGGTGCGGGCCTGTCGTCCCAGCTACTCCGTACCCTGAGGCGGGAGGATTGCCTGAGCCCAGGAGGTTGAGACTACAGTGAGCCGTGACCGTGCCACTGTCCTCCAGCCTGGGTGACAAAGTGAGACCCTGACTAACCAAAAAAATTAAAAAGAGCCTATGCTGGTGATTCAGGGAGGGGACCGCACAAGTGACTTTGTTGAGATGGACAAAGTAGGGTCAGGTGGGACGATCCTGGATTCAGGTGGGATGTCCCAGCGTGTGGCCTTGGCCATCCCTGCACCCGACGACCTAGAGGCCCCTCCAGGCCCAGCTTGCTGTCATTTTTATCCGTATCCTTGGCTCTTACACTATTTAGCAGCCAGTGCCTTCTGCCTGGCCCATCAAAGCAGAGCCAGTTCCTGTCTCGAGCCATGTGTGAGGCCCCAGCGGCCTGCAGCTTGTCGGTTCAGCACCTGGAAGCGCTGCCATCTCATCTCGGTTCTGCGCCACCAAGAACCCTCTGTGGGGGCTTCGCCTCCAGCCTCGCTCTGCTGCACAGTGCGGCGTGGCTGTCGCCAAGGAGAGAATGCCTGTCACTTCACCCATATCCCAGTAACCTGGTGGGTGGAGCCTTGGGGCTGCTTCCTCGGGACGGTGTCTGGAGAGAAGGGGAGGGGAGGTGACTTGTGTTGTGGCAAGTGACCTTTTCTAGGACAGCTGCGAGACCCGCCAGAGGGACGCTCTGAGATGGGTGAGGGGGAGGGAGGGGATCTGTGAGCTCATGAGTGCCCTTCCTGCCCTCTCGTCTACTCCCTGGGGAGCCTCTGCCTGCCTGTGTAGACCCAGCCCATGGAGGCTGCTTGCACCCGGGCACCAGTGTTCCTGCCCTACCGGTGACGCCCAGGCAGACGACTTGGCAGAGGTCTGGCAGGGAGAGGAGGGGAGGAGAGAGTTTGTTTTTACTTTTTTAGTTGTTGAGACAGGGTCTTGCTCTGTCGCCCAGGCTGGAGTGCAGTGGCGCTATCATAGCTCACCGCAGCTTCAAATTCCTGGGCTCAAGTGATCCTCCCTCCTCAGCCTCCCCAGCGGCTGGGACTACAGCCCTGCGCCTCCACACCTGGCTAATTTTAAAAATTTATTTATTGTAGAGACAAGATCTTGCCCAGGCTGATGTCAAACTTTTGGGCTCAAGTAATCCTCCCATCTCGGCCTCCCAAAATGCTGGGGTTGCAGGTGTGAGACACCACACCTGGCCTCTACTGACTTTCAACTTCCTCACACCTGTGGTGAAAAAAATATTAAGCACCTGACACAACAGCTTCCTCTCCTTCCTGTGTTTCCCTGCCTGCGGGAGTCTCGTTGAGACAGGGATCTTAAGATGGGTTGCTGGACTCGCCCCCTGGCTTCCCTCTTGCATTGCAGCTTGTCCCCCAGGAAGGTACTGAGGACCTTGGGGAGACCCCCGGTGCAGAGCCTCTCTTGAGCACATGCACACCCTCCTTCTCTCTGGGTGCTTTTAAAGGATCCCCCTCCCTGACCCAAGCCTAAAAAGGTGGCAGCAGCCTGTCATCCCAGTGCTTTGGGAGGCCGAGGCAAGTGGATTGCCTGAGCCTGGGGGTTCGAGACCAGCCCGGGCAACTTGGCGAGACCCCGTCTCTACGATAAATTAAAAAATAGCTGGGCGTGGTAGTACACGCCTGTAGTTCCGGCTACTTGGAAGGCTGAGTTGGAAGGATCACCCGGAGCCCAGCAGGTCGGCGCTGGGGTGGCCATGAGCATGCCACTGCACTCCAGCCTGGGCGATGGAGTGAGACTCCAACTCATTAAAAAAAAAAAAGATGGCAGCTGATACTCAAAAATCGGGGTTTGAAGCTGGGTGCGGTGGTCCATGCCTGTCATCCCAGCACTTTGGGAGACCGAGGTATTGCTCAAGCCCAGGGGTTTGAGACCAGCCTGGGCAACGCAGTGAGACCCCTGTCTCTATTTAAAAAAAAAAAAAAAAAGCAGGGTTTGGAATGGGACCAGGGCAGAGGGTTTGGCCAGGAAATCCATACGCTGTTTCTGTCCCGGCCTCTGCCCCTCCCTGGTCCCCCTGTGGCTGTCGTTGGTTGGGGTGGGGGAAAGGAATCTGCTGCGTTTTGCTCCTTTTGGAAATGAACTTTGCTGCCCACTTTGAGTCCAGGCTGTGGAGGGGGGGAATGCGGGGACCAGCCTGCCCTCAAATGTGCCCCATAAAAGGGTAAAGACCCGGGTGGCTCCTGCCCTGGTGTCCCAGGGTACGGTGAGCCCCCAGGGTGCCTGTGGGAGTGGCTGGGTAGGTGGATCGACTCATCTGCTGATGCAGTGAAGCATTTGTTGAGCACCTCCGTGTGTCAGGGCAGAGTGTCAGAAGGATGGAGATGTTGAGCTAGTCTCCAGGAGGGGGGCTCGTCAGTAGCACATACAGAATCATTGGAGGAATTGTATTAAGTACACGAGTGCCCGGGAGAGTTCGAACCACAGAGCGGGCAGGACATCCTAGAGGGCCTCTTGGAGGAGGTGTCCTGAGAACTCAGTCCTGTGGGCAGAGGGGCAGTGTGTGGTAGAATGAAGCCACGATCATGAGCTGGAAGGAAGCTTTGTTGCATTGTAGAGAGGCGGTCATTTCCCTGGTGTACTTTGGGAGGGCACAAGTCCACACCGTTTTCTGTGCACCCTTGAGCTTTGCAGCTTACCTCCGAGGATTGGGAGACCCTGGGCTGGGCTGAGAGCACTCAGATCGCAGGGGTGGGCTAGCAGAGAGGAGCCTCAAATCTGGAGGCGGGAGCTGAGCCCTCCTGTTGGCCGACTCTGGGGAGATTCTGGTGAGGGCAGACATCTCGCCCCTGGGCCTCCGGTGTGTGTCCCTGGCGTTGCCAAAGGGCTGGAGGGGTGGGTGCTTCATCCTGGCAGGACTTTCTAAAACATATGTCGAGTGGGGCTCCCTGCCCTGCCTGATTCCACCTCACAGAGCCCGGGAGGCAGCCGTCCCACCATTCTGCAGACGGAGGCCGAGGCGAGGCCTGCCCTAGCCGTGGCCCGGGCTGCCTGCATGCCTCGTGGACTTTCTCTGCAGGTCCCTGGTCAGGGGGGCGGCAGGAACCTCCCCTCCCTTCTAACCCGCCTTCTCTTGTGCAGCGAGCATGACCTTGGCGAAGACATCTATGACTGCGTCCCCTGTGAGGATGGAGGTGACGACATTTACGAGGACATCATCAAGGTGGAAGTCCAGCAGCCCATGGTGAGCCCCAGCCGCACCCGCCCCTGGCTTGCCGGCCAGCCTGGCTTTGCTCAACAAGATTCCGGGCCCACCCCGCAGCAGAACCACCGAGAGAAGGTGGCTCCGGTTGCGGGGGGATCTCCAGGGGGTGCACCCCTCTGTCCTTCCTGGACCCCACGGGGGCTCCTCTGAGCGGTCTCCTCGGATACCCTCCCTGACCCCCAGTCTGCTGGGGGCCCTTCCCTACTGAGATGTTGGCCGGGCTCAGTGGCTCAGCCTGTTATCCCAGCGCTTTGGGAGGCCGAGGCGAGTGGATTGCCTGAGCCCGCGGGTTCGAGACCCATCCGGGCAACTTGGTGAGACCCCGTCTCTACAATAAAATAAAAAATGAGCCGGGCATGGTAGCGCGCGCCTGTAGTTCCAGCTACTCGGAAGGCTGAGGCGGAAGGATCGCCGGAGCCCAGCAGGTCGACGCGGTGGTGGCCTTGGGTGTGCCACTGCACTCCAGCCTGGGCGATGAAGTGAGACTCCAACTGAAAAAAAAATGTTTATTTTATGAGGAGGGACCCCCCCAAAACGGAATTTATTGATAAAAAATTGTGCATTTATTCTTACATGCTTAAATGTCAGTCACCTTCCAGGTGCGCTTCATTTGATGCAGTACACTTATCGGGATACTTTTTCCACTGCTCAGAACGTTGTATGAGCACGTCCATTTTGATGCTTTTGAGTGCTTCTGCTCTTTCTTGTTTCACCTCTTTCGTGCTGGCAAAACAAAATACATTTGAGGACTTTTTTCACTGGTGGAAACAAAAGGTCACTCGGGGCGAGATCCAGGGAATAGGGAACGCGGGGCAGGAGGGTTCGGCTGTTTTTGGTCAAAAACTGCTCAACACTCAGCGTAATAGGGGCAGGTTGTTCCTGTAAATCACCCGTTATGAAATGGGTGAACGTGTTAAAAGCATCTCCAAAAAAAAAAAAAAATAGCCGACGCCAGACGCAACCTCTCACGGTAATGCTAGCCGGTCCACAGATGCCGATGGGTGTCTCGAACACTCACCTAGCGGGGAAGCCTGTCCTACAAGGGGCCTGCCCTCCGAAGGATAAATCCTGGTTTTGGGGGTCCTCCCTCTGATTTGATTTTAGAGTTGTGGGGTACAAGTGAGGATTTGCTCCGTAAGTAAGTTGCATGCAGGGGAAGTTTGGGCTTCTGGCAGGCCCTGTCTCCCCCTGGTAGTGGACCTAGTACCCAGCATGTTGCCATGTGCCGCCCTCCCCTGTGGGTGCTCCAAGCTGCACAGATAGGACACCACTGCCTCCAAGCCCTCCATGGCTGTGTCGCCATGGAATTCTCTCCCCAAGTGTGCAGGGGTTCTTCCTCCTGCCTACCCAGAGAGCCTTAAGATGGAATTGGGCATGACGTCTACGTCGCACCCACCGTTCCACCCCTTCGTACCGAGAGCACCGAGACCAGGGTTGGCCCAATTAGCCAGCTGTGCGTCTTTTATGTGGCAAGGATATTTATTTCCGAGCTGGCATGGGCTAATAATCTCTTGGACGCCAGTTTGCGCCAGCGCGTGTTTATAGCCAGCAGCTGCAGCGCAGGAGGCGGGGGTCTGGAGGGGCTGAGATGGGGGGCAGGGGCTGGCCCTCTTGGACCCCTGAGCCCCCAAGGGCCAGGCAGGTTGCCGCTTGCCAGTCGCGGAGGCTTCAGTGCCGTGCGCTTTCCCTGAAGGAAGGGGAAATTCCTCAAAAGGCAAATGTCAGTGTTTTCCCTTTGAAGAGCGAGTGTGACCAGCTGATGGTGGAGAAGCAGAAAGCCAGGGATTCAAGTTCCCGAAGAAGCTGTTTACGATGCCTTTCCCACTGGGCTGGAGCCCTCTGGGAGAGACCGGGAGGGGCAGGACGGTGGGTCTCAAGGCCCCTAGACTCCACTTTTAAGAACAGGTTAATGGCCGGGCGTGGTGGCTCACACCTGTGATCCAAGCACTTTGGGAGGCCTTGGCAGGAGGGTCCCTTGAGCCCAGGAGTTTGAGACCAGACTGGGCAATACAGCAAGACCTCATGTCTACAAAAAAATACAAAAATTAACTGGATGTGGTGACACGTGCCTGTAGCCCCAGCTACTTGGAAGGCTGAGGTGGGAGGATCAATTGAGTCCTGGAGATGGGATCATGCCACTGCATTCCAGCCTGGGTGTCCTTGTCTCAAAAAAGAAAAAAAAGGATCAGGGGTCTCACTTTGACCCTAAAGGGTCTGGAGGTGGGTCTCCTTCCCCTCCACGACCAGGGGTCCCACTGTGGAGACCAGGGCCCTCAGTGGACAATCGACAGAACTGAGAGCCTGTGCTGCCCGGGGGTCCCGAGAGAGTGGCATCACTGGCCCAGCCTCTGGGCTGTCTGTTAGTGGGGCTAGAAGGCCAAGCTGTGGCCCCTGCTGACGGGGGTCCCCCCACCTCCCCAGAGCTGGCCAGACAGGTCCTAGAAAGATCTGGCGAACCTCCTGGTTGATGGGACCTTTCACTCCCCAGGTCCTTGGAAGGCTGGGTGCCGTGTGGGTGAACTGAGCACATGGGTGTAGTACCTGGGAGGTTATTTGGAGGCACCCGGGCCACGCAGGCTCTCTCCAGAGACGGCTGCTGTCCTTGGTTCTGAAACACCCGTGAAGGGACACAGGGTTGTTTGCAGAACTTCCTGGACTGGGGACCAAAGCTGGCCTGTGCCCCGGGGCGGGCCAGCGTCCTAACACCGCATGCTGGTACCGGCATGCTTTTGGGCTGTCCGGGCGGTCCGGGCAGGGACTGTGGGGGGGAGGGGCTCCTGCTTCCTGCTGGGGTCCCCTGAGACAAAACAGCCAGTTTCATGTCCTCCCCGGTCATGTCTGGGACCATCCGAACTGTCCAAGTGGGAGGTGGTGGGATGGCGGTGTCTCCAGGGGGAGATCGAGGCAGGGGATGGACAGCAATGGCTGCCTCTGGGCCTGAGTGTGGGGAGGCAGCTGGGCGACTGCCGTCCCTGTGCTGCCTCCGTCCCGTCCAGCCAGGCTGTGCTGCGGCTTTCGGGGCTGTTGGCTGATGGGGGGAGGCGAGGCCCCTGACATCACCAGGCACGGCCTGAGAGGACACTGTCGACCCTGCTGATTGGTGCTTTTTCTCATTTGTCCCTCCATGCCTTCAGATTAGATACCTACAGGTAAGTGGCCCCTCGAAGGAGGCCAGGGGACGTTCTCCCTGCACCGCCTTCTCGACCTTTCCGGGAGGTCACGACCTCTTTAAGAAAACCTGGGCCCTGTCCCCAGGGAGACAGCGTCCACCATGCACGGCTTCAGGGGAATTGTGGACTCCCTACAACCCTGTGCCCCTGTCCTTGGAGAGTTGCAGGCCAGCTGACCCAAAGGGGACCCCTGACGTTTCTCAGAGGATGAGGAAGATCTTGGGGCTGGCAGGGATGCCCTGGCGGGTCTCAGGCCACAGCTCCGTTTCTCTAGAGCTTGTGGGCAAATTCAGCTAATTCAGCCTCAGGTGACTTTAAGAGAGGGTCGGACCGGGCTCGGTGGCTCAGTCTGTCATCCCAGCACTTTGGGAGGCTGAGGCGCATGGATTGCCTGGGCCCGCAGGTTCGAGACCCACCCAGGCAACTTGGCGAGACCTCGTCTCTACAATAAAATTAAAATTAGCTGGGCATGGTAGCGTGCATCTGTAGTTCTGGCTAGCTGGAAGGCTGAAGCGGAAGGATCACCAGAGCCCAGCAGGTCGAGGCTGCGGTGGCTGGGAGCGTGCCACTGCCCTCCAGTCTGGGCGACAGAGTAAGACTCCAACTCAAACAAAACAAAAACAAATAAATGAAGAGAGAGTCGGGAAAGTCCACCATGCTCTAGCAGTGACCACCGGTGACCTGCCAGTCTCTTGGTCAGTCTGGAGGGGGCCCTTGTGGCTCTGCAGTGGGCTGTCATCTCAAGCCTCTCTGGGGAGAGTCTGACTTGCGAGCAATTGGTACTGGGGCAAGCAGTGTCAGGCGTGGGTCCACAAGTGTAGATCTAGTAACACCATCTGCCCGTAGAGAGGGCCTGCGCATACGTAGGTGCTTGAGCGAACCCCTCTTGTTTCTGTGTCGGGGTGGAGGCAAGTGGCTCCTGAGGCCCTCACCCCTGCCTGGTGACAAGTTGAGATTCAGGCTGATGGCTAATACCTGTAATTCCAGCACTTTGGGAGGCTGAGGCAGTAGGATTCCTTGAGACCATGAGTTCGAGACCAGCTTAAGTGACACAGCAAAATATTGTTGCTACAAAAAATTAACCAGGTGTGGTGGTGCATACCTGGAGCCCCAGCTACTCGGGCGGCTGAGGTGGAAGGAGCACCTGAGCCCAGGAGGTGGAGGCTGCGGCAAGCTGTAATCATGCCACTGCACTCCAGTCTGGGCAACAGAGGAAGACCCTGACTCAAAAAAAAAAAAATGAGATTCACACGCTAAGAAGCAGGACCCTTGATCCTAAGAGCCTCCAGGTCTAACTCGGCACTGCGCCCCCCAGCACCCCTCCCTGGGCCTGTTTCCTCATGTGCAAAATGGATGGGAAGGCTTGGTCCCCTCTGCCTGCCCTCTGGCCTCACCATTTCCCACTCGTTGACCTCATGGCTAGATCCGAGAAGGCACCCGCTTGTGGTGTGGGGTGGGTGGCCGGGCTGCCCGCTACAGATGTGCTTACTGGTGGTCCCCGGCCGGTCCTGTGGGGATCCTGGCTCACGTCCCCTACCCCTCCCCCAGAAAATGGGCATGACTGTGGATGACAAGAGGAACTGCTGCCTGCTGGAGATCCAGGAGACTGAGGCCAAGTACTACCGGACCCTGGAAGACATCGAGAAGGTGGGGAGACCCTGGCCACTGGAAGATGGCAGAGGCCCGGCCACGTGTGGTCACGGCAGGGCTGCCGCTCTCCCGGGGGGTGCACGCTGGAGGCAGGGACTCGGGCAGCGGTGACGGGGTGGGGCCGCTCGACGGTCCTCGCGTTGCCGTCCGGACCCCCACCCAGAAGGGGGTGCCTCCCCTTGCCTCTGCGACCCCTTTGAGCCCCGTTCTGCCCTTGTTTCTGCCCCTCCTGCCAGTGTAACCCTGGCTACTTCCGGCTTCCAGGCCCGAAGGCATGTGCCAAGCCAGGCACCGAGTTGACGCCTTATGTATTCCCCTTCCCCAGGGCTTGCTCCCCAACGTCACTGCACTCAGCTTCCCCCTCTGTAAAATGAGACAGGGCGGCAGCAGCACTCACAGGCGGCTGGGGGGTCCTGCCTCCGTCTGTCCCTGCCAGCTGCCGAGCGCTTGGAGGACCCAAGGCCGGCCTCCACTGCCTCCACCCCACCCAGGCCTCCTGGAGGCACCTGGTCAACCTGGCCCTCGGATGTTCCCCTGTCACTTGTGTCCTGTTGCCAACAGCTAGTGCTTACGGGGGTGGAGAAGACCAGCATTTTTTCAAGGTAGAATCTCATGGATAGCCTCTGGCTGCCAGGCGGAGTCCAGGGTGGCCGTGCTGGGGACGCCTAAATGCGTCCCTTGCTGTCCCGGGCAGTGTGACACCTCCGGACGGGAGACCCAGAACACCCCTGGGGCCTGGGCCACCCTCACCCTAGCCAGCCCCTCCTCCCGCCCGCCAGCCCTCCCGTGCCTGTGCCCCAGCCCCTGACCAGCAGCCGTTCTGTACACCCTGGCCGGGCCATCCCACCCCCTCCAAGCCCGGCCCTCCCTCCACCTCCCTGGCAGAGTTCTACTTCTCTGAGTCCCGGCTCTGAGGTCCGCTCCTGCCCAGGGCCCTGCCAGCCTCGGCCTCTCCTCTATGCAGCTGAATCCCTCGGCAGAGAACAGCGGGCTCGGGTTGGTCTCGTGGTGCTGTCAGAGGTGGGGCAGGGAGTGTGCTCAGGGGTCTCTCTGAGCCCCCCCCAGTCCTTGGAGTAGATGTTGCTGCCAGCGAGTCCCCCAAGTCACAGAGCGCCAGAGAGCCGCCAGCCCCTTCCTGGCATGAGTGGATCCGCCTGTCCACGCGCGGCGGCCGCCAGTGCTTGTCCACTTGGGCGATGTTCTCTGCCCCTTGTGGCGGCCAAGGAGACGTCCAGCACCTGGGCCCCCCGGACACCCTGAGAGCTGCTGCCACTCCAGACCAGGAGTGTGGGGGGTGGGGAAAGGAGGGGAGAGGCAGACCCGGGCACCCCAGGGCCTCTGGGGTGGCAGTTGGCCATCTCCCAGGGGGCCGGGGCTAGAGGACTCTCAGCCAAGCCCTGCCACCGTGTTTCTGGGGTGGAGAGCATGCCCTCGGATGGTGGTTTTGGGGTCACATGCAGGAGCACAGGCCCAGTGTTTGAAGGCCAGGTGGGGTCCATCCAGAGGGTGCCCTCGGACCATGACCCTGCCACCTGGGCCTCAGCCCCTCACACAGATGGCAACCCCAATGCGCCTGCTCAGGGCCACCAGGGGGCCCCAGTCCAGCTTCATATGTGAGTGGCCTCCGCGGGCCTCTGCCCCTGTCGTGGCCAGTGGGGTTTGGACCCCTTCCCAGGCCCCCTCCTGTCCGCCCCCGAGTGTTCCTGCGTGGCACTCGCCACCGTAGGACGGAGCCCTCGTGTGCCCCCATGAGCACTGGGCACCCCCCAGTGGATCCTCCCCGGGGACCCTTCCCAGGGACCGCGGTCCAGGTGGCATGGCTGTCTCCTCTCTTCCAGAACTACATGGGACCCCTGCGGCTGGTCCTGAGCCCGGCAGACATGGCGGCCGTCTTCATCAACCTGGAGGTAAGGGGCCCTGCCCGGCCCTGCCCACTCATGGCCAGCTCCTGACGGCACCACCACTCCTCAGATGTCAGGCGGCCCACAGGCAGGCTTGCAGAGCTTGTCCTTGCCGGCTGCACAGTGACTCACCCCTCTCTCTGGGCACTCTGGTCTCAGGAGCCAGGGAACGGGGTTTCTGGGCCCTTCTTCCCTGCTGGTGGGGGTGGCATCGCTGCACACGGCCCCAGAGGAACCGGGACCCCTGGGAACCATCAGGGAGGATTTGGTCAGCAGCCTGAGAGAAGTCACCCGTTGGGCAGTCCCCTCCCTTGCTCAGGGATGTCCAAACACGGACGTATCAAAGGCAGTCCCCATGTGGCGGTTCTCCTTGACGTGGTCAGCAGAGTGGAGCGGGTTGGTGGAGGCCCTGGAGGCCACTTGTGGTGGCTTCCTTCCGGGACGGGCCATTCCCTGGTCCTCCCTGCCGGCAGCATGGGTGGCTCTGGTTGCCTTTCTACTGTCCTGGATGAGACCGACCTGCTCTCCATGTCCCCGACTCAGAATCCATCCTGAGCCATGGCCAGGACAGGTGACCATAGACTTAAGAGGGTTGGGGTGCAGGGAGCCCGGGTGCCGGCCCTGCCAGCGCCGTCCCGTGCCAGTGGTCGGCCCCTGAGTGCTGGATGCACCGGGGGCCTGCCTTCCTGCCTGTTCCTCTGTGCGCCCGTCACTGCAGAACCTTCCTGCTGAATGGCACGTGTTGTTCCCGGCGATGGGCCGGCTCCCAGGCCCCTTCCTTGGAAGTCTGGTAGGCACCCGGCTGCCTCGGTGGGCCCGGGCATGCATTCATGCTCCTTCTCTTCCCAGGACCTGATCAAGGTGCATCACAGCTTCCTGCGAGCCATTGACGTGTCCATGATGGTGGGAGGCAGCACGCTGGCCAAGGTCTTCCTCGATTTCAAGGAAAGGTGAGTGGCCAGAGGGCCGCAGGGGCTCGCCACGTCTGTGGGGGAGAGTTGGCGCAGGGAGGACTCTCGGGTCCAGGTGTCCCGAGGCAGGGGCTGCCCCCTCTGGATCCTTCCACCCTTGTTGAGAACACCGCCCACCCTTCCCCATTGTCCCCTCGGAGGGACCTTGTGGGGGCTCCCGTGGTCTCGTGCTCTCCTGTGGTCTTGGTGGCTGACGTTCGTGGCATCACAGCTCATCTGAGAATATCGGAAAAATCAGCCCGAGCCTGGTTCCCTGGGTGGGGACGTGGGCCTGTCACAGACACATCACAGAAGGACAGACCCCAGCCCACCCTTTGCGGATCTCAGTGGGGTGGTGACTTGAGGGCAGTGAGACTGTGTCATGGCTGAGATCTTGGATCCTGGGGATCCCAGGGCTGGGCTGTGTCTCTGCCTGGCCACAACCTCCGTCTCTGTCGGGGCCAGGAGGGCATCTGTGTCTGTGGCACTTGAGGGTGAACCGGGGCTGAGCCTGACTGGCCAGGTGGCCAGTCCATGCCCAGTGAAAGGCAGGAGCAGACCCAGACCTCCGTGACCAGACAAGGGGGTGGAGTGGTCACCTGGCCATCCGGGCATGAAGCGGCCCCAGCCTGGGACGCGAGAGGCATGTTTCCAAGGCCAGGGGGCCCAGGGCCCGACCTCACCAACCGTGTCCTTTCCCGGTCACCTCCAAGTCTCTGCAGCCTTCAGGACAAGTGTCGTGGAGCTCAGGCTAGCCACAGATGCAATTAGTCAGGATTCTGTCATCTCCTTTTTTGCCCGGAGTTGCACCCAGGGGATTAGGCCAGTGTCTGGAGGCAGAGACAGCGTGAGGTTGCGACACCATGGAGACCCACCCATGACCAGCACGCCCGTGACGTGGCTTTTCCCGTGGCCCTGGGTCGATGGGACAGAATTAGAACTCACTTAGAAACAGATGCTAACTGGAGTCTTTGTTTCCAGGCCTTTGGTTTGCAGCCCGGGTTTGTGACAGGGTGGGAAGCCAGCCTCCGTGTCCTGGGTGGTCCTGAAGGAGCCCAGCAGGGGAAAGATTGGGATTCTGGAAGCTTCTGTCTGGTTATGTAGGGGGCGGCCACAGGGTGGCCCTGCCGTCCTGGTGGAGACCCCCAGCTGCTGCTTCTGCCTTTTGAGCCTTGAGGCAGGTTCTTTAAAATGGGGAGTTTGGGCCGGGCTTGGTGGCTCAGCCTGTCATCCCCAGCACTTTGGGAGGCCGAGGTGAGTGGATTGCCTGAGCCTGCAGTTTCGAGACCCGCCCAAGCAACTTGGCAAGACTTTGTCTCCACAATCAATCAAAAATTAGCTGGGCGTGGTAGCACACCTCTATAGTTCTGGCTACTTGGAAGGCTGAGACGGGAGGATCGCCAGAACCCAGCAGGTCAAGCCTGCGGTGGCTGGGAGCATGCCACTGCACTCATCTGGGTGACAGAGTGAGACTCCAACTTAAAAAATAAAATAAAATAAAATAAAATGGGGACTTTGGACCGGGCATGGTGGCTCACGTCTATAATCCCAGCACTTTGGGAGGCTGAGGCGAGAGGATCGCTTGAGCCCACGGGTTCGAGACCAGCCCGGGCAACTTGGTGAGACCTCACCTCTACAACAGAAATTAATAAAAAATGAAAAAAGTAGCAGGCTGAGGCGGAAGGATCGCCGGAGCCTAGCAGGTCGGGGCTGTGGTGGCCGTAGCATGCCGCTGCACTCCAGCCTGGGTGACAGAGTGAGACCACAACTCAAAAAAGGGAGGGAGAGGGGACTTTGACAAGGAAGACAGGAAGTGACAGGAAGGACTTAACAGTACCTGGCACTATTGGAGACTGGAGATGGCTTCTCAAGAGACCATCGGGAGACAGCGCCAAGCCTCTGTCGCCCAGGGAACCTTCGAGGAAGGAACCGGAAGTGGTTGGTATTCGTGGGTCCTGCATTGGCCTCTCACCAGAGCCAGCAGGAGCTTCTTAAAAATGCCACCTCCTCCGGCCGGGCACAGCTGCTCACACCTGTCATCATCTCAGGACTTTGGGTGGCCCAGGCGGGAGGCCGGGTTGAGCCCAGGAGTTTGAGACCAACCTGGGCAACACAGTGAGACCCCGTCTCTACTTAAAAATAAATAAATAAATACCACATCCGGGTCCACCCTTTGAAGGGGGGGTCCACTGTGGGGGGTCTGAGAACCATAGAAGCGCCTCTTAGACTTGCCACGTGATCCCAAAGGGGGCGTCTCCCACACAGAGGGAGGCTTGGCCCGGAGGTGGAGTTTGTGTTTTGCGGCTCCTGGTAAGAAAAAGCCGAGCTCTTTTTATCTACAGCTGGGGCTGGGCCTGGAGTCTGCCGGTGCTGGCTTAGTCGGGCGGGTCAGTGGGTCGTGCTGGGCGGATGGGGGGTGAGGCAGGCGAACTACAAAGGAAACCCGTCTGGGGCAGTCGGCAGCCCTGCGGGAAGGTGGAAGGCCAGCTCTTAGGGGGCGCGCTCTGGAGTGTTGTTTGCTTTCAGGAGAAACCGCGGGCAGATCAGAGTGAGATGAGAGGCCATCCCAACCCTGCGGGCATGTTTGCAGATAAAGCATCAGAGACAGGCGAGACTCCGGCGCACTGAGATTCTGCTTGCCCAGAATCCGGCCGGAGAGGCTGCTCTTGGGATGTGATGTCCTTTCCGCGGTCCAGCCTCAAGCCCCAGCTCCGTGGTCCCGGGGTGGGGCCCGCAGGGGAGCATCCCCGCCCACAGTCCACCGCCAGAGCCCCCAGCAGGGGCCCGTGTGGCCACCTCATCTGGCGGGGCTGCCCTTGGGACCTTCTGAGCCCCAGAAGCTTTAGAACTGCCTCAATCTATCCCCATTTCCTGGGTGGGGAAACTGAGGCTGGGGGAGAGCCGGCCACTCAGCATTGGTCCCCGCTTGCTTCTGTACCTTCAGTCAGTACAGTGAGTCCCCGACTTACGAACGAGTTCCATTCTAAGAGCGCATTCTTAAGTCCAACAAAGTCAGCCGAGGTGCCCGACTCACACAACCGACTGTACGGGACCCGTTATGGCACCACTGTCTTTATGTCCGCTTCTGGACATCCTGGGCTTGAAATAAGGATACTGCATGGGTGTACCCTAGACAGTCCTGCACAGTCAAATACACAAAAGCACAGCCACGTGTAGAGGACACACGCACGTGACCGTGGACGCCAGACATGCAAACTGGCATATGTGGTTGGACACGCAGATGCATGTTCACGTCTTTGAAAGTTTGCAACTTGAAGGTTCGTATGTAGGGGACTCACTGCACCTGAGCCCATGAGCTGTGTCCCTTAACCTGCGCTGTCTCCGGGCACCTTGAGAGGTCAGGGACTATGGACTGGAGGCAGAGGTGATGCAGTGAAAGAAAGTGAGCAGATCAGAGGGTTTTCCGGAAGGGGCATCTGTGTCCTTTTCAGTGCAGCAGGAGTTTAACATATTCAGAAAGTTAAACACAATAAGACTTCAAGCCCAGATCGTTGGGGCTATCTTCTCTGTCAGGACAGAAAATACGGTCACCTGAATGGTCTCCGAGGGAGCAGTCACTGAGTCAGAGGAGGCCGCTTCCCAGGGTCCCACGTGTTCCAAGGTGCTCTAGAGAAGCCAGGAGGCATGGGGTGTGTGTGTGTGTGTGTGTGTGTGCTGCTTTTGGATAATTTTTCTTTTTTTCTGGGTCTGGATCTCACTCTGTCACACAGGCTGGAGTGCACCAGCCTCGACCTCCTGGGCTCAGACAGTCCTCTTGCCTCGGCCTTCCGAGTAACTGGGACTACAGATGCACCTCACTACACCTAGCTAAATAGAAATTTTTTTATTTTTTATCTTTGTAGAAACGAGGTCTTGATATGATGTTGCACTCGGCCTGGGTAATTTTTTTTTTTTTTGAGTTAGAGTCTCACTCCATCGTCCAGGCCGGAGTGCAGTGACATGCTCACAGCCACCCCAGCATTGACCTGCTGGTCTCCGGCGATCCTTCCACCTCAGCCTTCCAAGTAGCCGGAACCACAGGTGCGTGCTACCACGCCCGGGTAATGTTTGATTTCTTGCAGAGACAAGGTCTCACCAAGTTGCCTGGGCTGGTCTCGAACCCGTGAGCTCAGGCAATCCACTTGCCCTGGCCACCCAAAGTGCTGGGATTACATGCCTGGATAAATTTTAACAGGAGCAGATGTTTGTGGTTATACGAAGGCCTGTAAACCTTTGCCTTTTAACTGACGCCCTTAAATAGGCTGGATTTTCAAGGAAAAGTGTGACCCTGCCCCTGGGACCTGTCTCACACTGCCTGGTGTGGGGTGTGGACGGAGGGTGATGGTGGCTGTGACAAAGGATCACAGCAGCAGAGGTGTTTTCTCAGTTCTGGGGGACCAGTTAAAATTAGTTTCACCGGACAAAACCCAGGCGTCACAGGCCGTGACCCTACAGAGGCTCTCAGGCAAGAGAGATGCCCCTGCCAGGCCCTCCTTGACTTTGGGCTGCATTGCCCTATTCTTGCCTCTGTCCTCATGTGGCCTCCTCCTGTCTGTGTGTCCTTTTCTGTCTAATCCGGGACGGCCACACCTTAAACCTTACCTTGATTGCTTCTGCAGGGACCCTATCCAAATGAAGTCACAGCACGAGGTTCCGGGTGGACCTAGATTTGGGGGATACTCTGGGACCCGTGACAGCTGAGTCCTGGTCCCTTTGCCTCTCTGTCTCTGACCACCCATGGGATCGGTGGGGGGGTGTGATTTGGACAGGGTGAAGCTGAAGCCAGGCTTCTGTGCCCTGAGGGAGGAATGTCCCTCTGCAGAGGCCTCTGGGGCCCAGGAGGCCTGGGCTTTGTAGCCACGTGCCTGGGAATCTGGTCCCTGCTGGGCAACATCAGAAGTGGTGTCATGTCTCTGAGCCTTGGGGCTCCTGTCCCAAAAGTGGGGTTTCTGTGAGACTAGGTGTGCTGCATAGTGAAACCTCACCTCTACAAAAATTATCCGGGTGTGGTGGTGCGTGCCTGTAGTCCCAGCTACCCGGAAGGCTGAGACAAGAGGAACGCCTGAGCCCTGGAGGTCAAGGCTGTGGTGAATAGCGATTACAGCCTGGGCAACAGAGTGAGACTCTGACTCAAAAAAAAAAAAAAAAAGGCGGAGCTCGGTGGCTCAGCCTGTCATCCCAGCGCTTTGAGAGGCTGAGGCGAGTGGATTGCCTGAGCCCGTGGGTTCAAGACCAGCCCGGGCAACTTGGCGAGACCTCGTCTCTACAATAAATCAAAAATTAGCCGGGCGTGGTGGCGCGCGCCTGTAGTTCCAGCTACTTGGAAGGCTGAGGCGGAAGGATCGCCGGAGCCCAGCGGGTCGAGGCTGCGGTGGCTGTGAGCGTGCCACTGCACTCCAGTCTGGGTGACAGAGTGAGACTCCAACTCAAAAAAAAGAAAGAAAGAAAGGAAGGAAGGAAGGACAGAAGGAAAGGAAGAAGGTAGGGAGGGAGGGAAATAATTATCCCAAAGCATCCAGCATCCATGGCCCTGACTCTTCTAGGTGTTTAGTGGGGTTTTTCCTTCTCCCCAAAGTGGCTCTCCTACTTGCTGCAAATGGCTACGGTTGCCCCGTCCTGGCGTCCACTTATCAAATGGCTCGAAGGATCTGTGTCCAATGTGTGGCTGTGGCGTGGTGCAGGCCAGGGCTCCAGGCTAGGTGCTGGGGCTTGGGGAGGGAGGAGGCCCACTGCAGGAGCTTGGAGCGGGGTGGTGGGCGGGGCACGCGTGGTCCCATGCTGTCTCCTCTGTGGGCCCCGCCCATCGAAGACAGGCCTCCTCCTGCTGCCCTGTGACCTGTCTCCTTGCTTTTCTGTCTGAACCCTGCTGGGCAGGGGATGGAGAGGGGAAGGTGATCCAGAGAAGGCAACAGGAGGGAAGGGTTTTGACGGATGAGTACAAGTCTGCCGGGTGGAGAAGACTGCCGGCCCAGCCGTGCTGTGGCTGGTGTGAGAGGTCTGGTGGGGCGTGGTGTGAGGAATGCAGGGTTGGGACCTGGTCTCCGTCTGCGTAAACCTCAGGCCTGGGGATCCCATGGAGTGTGTATTGAGCAGCCCGGGCTGCTCTGGGGCTGCTGGCACTGGGCTGCTGGCATCAGGCTGGTGTTATGGGACTTCAGTAGAGCACCCCGCCTGGGCAACACGGGGGCACTGGGGCCGGTGTCCATCTGCTCCTGGCGTCTAGGCACCCTGTTCAGCAACTGGGACGGCCCTGGGGGGTTCCCCTGCGTGCCCAGCCCCAGGGTGAGCCCTGAGCCCAGCCAGGTTGCCGCATGCAGGAAGGCACGTGTGTCGGTCCCAGGAGTCCAGGGGCTTCCCTGTCTCCAGATTTGACCCTTTTTGGGGTTGCGGTGGAGACTTACAAACTCCACCCCCGAGTCTGGCTGTGACCTCAAATGGAGCCACAGAAGGTAGCTGGGCAGGGCGTCCTTGGATTCAGGGCGGGCAGGGGCACCCCCTTTCCCGACGCTCTGACAACCCTTCTGCCAGCCAGGAGTATTTTGCGGAGTGGGGGAAAGAAATTTGATCAAAAGAGAACAAAACCAATAAACGTGTTAATGCTCCATCACTGTCTGGAGAGACAAGTTGGCTGGGCTTTTGTGGCTGCCTTGAAAAACAGGTTCCCTGAACCAGGCTTGGTGGCTCAGCCTGTAATCCTGTGCTTTGGGAGGCCAAGGTGAGCGGATTGCCTGAGCCCGCAGGTTCGGGACCTGCCTGGGCAACTTGGTGAGACCTCATCTCTACAATAAATCAAAAAACTAGCTGGGCGTGGTAGCACG